GGGGGGGGGAGAAAACAGCGCCTGAGTACGTTCTAAAGTTATCACGGTATGACTTATCGCGGAGGGGACGCCCCATGAGACGAGTCATGGTGGCTAATCCATCTGAACAGCTCAGGGGGGAAACGACTGAGGGTTTTTTTTTTGTTGTTTTTTTAAAAGTGTTTTACGGCACTCGCAACTGCATAAGGTCATATGAGCGCGCAAGACACATTTCAGTTGGTAGGAAATTTTTGATACTTTACGGCCGGCGAACTGAAGGAGTTGACGACGAGGGAGCGGCTTCTTTGATGTTGCCCCAGGCGGAGTGGAAAATGCATTCCAAAATTTCCTAAATATCGGTCAAATAAAAAAAATATTTTTTTTTCGTGATCAGCGACCCAAAATAAGTAGCCTAAACTTCACGCGGGGAACGCACTTTAATACCGGATTATCAAGTTAAATTCTGTGTGTGTGAGTGTGTGAGTGTGTGAGTGTGTGCCGCCCCTTCACTTTTGAAAGTGCCGAAAATAAAATAACCCAGTTACTTCTGTCATTGCTGGGTATCCCAGCTTGGGGTACATTATAAGTTAACCCTTACCTCACCAGTCTATTGTAAGCCGTCACTTGTCTCTGGCCCAGGTTCTACAGGCGTCCTTGACCCCACAGGCCCTGCCTATACTGATTGTGTTAACAAGTTTTTACAGACAGACGTAAAAAGAAAAGAATACTAGACTACTTTATTTTGAGGTTTCAGGAGATAAAATGCAGAATATTTCTCAGAGACGTTTGGATAGACTATGGTTAAAGTAACCGGCTTTGTTTTAGGTGGCTAGCAGCCTGTGATGAAAATACATGACTGGAGCTATGGAAATGAGAACATGTGTGGGAAAATATACAAACTGGAGCTCTTAGGGTTAAAACTGTAAAAGTGGGAAGTCATGCGAAAGTTGAATGTCCCCTAGGGAGATACCTCTCGTTTTCAATTACTAGAATGTGTTAATGGTTTCAGAGTCAACTTACCCTCTGCTGTAATGGTGAAGCTCTTTGTCTTTGCTCACGGAATACTTTGAGTTCGATTCCACAGTGAGGGTATGGCGGTAGGCCATAATGACCATGACAAGGGGCCAGTTTTTCGTGTTATTCTCTGGGGGCAGGAGGGGGGTGGACTTCTTTTTGCGGTGGAAAACAAGAACTTTCACTTTGACTTGACAGATGAGGCTATCTTTGCGCACTTTTGGCGCTCATTCTAGTACCTTATGTCAGTTGGTATCGTGTTGGGCTGAGGAGCGGACGGCCCAGGTCCAAATCCCTATCATGACATTTTGGAGCTCTGGTTGTTATACGGAGCTTTCAGGGCTCTAAATCCAAGTAGCTCTATTGAATCCAAGTTGGACGGAAAAATTTGACGGTCCTGCCTCTTGGATCAACTAAGAGTTTTGAAAGGGACTTTAAATCCTACACACCGTTGTAGATGGTGGAGCAGGTAGGTGCGTAGTGGTCGCACTGGAGACTTGAGTTCGATTACTATCGAGTATCTCGGTCTTTCTACTGGGATATTGTATCCCTCTCAGCCTTGGTCTGTCTGCTGGGATGTCGCATCCCTCTCAGCCCGGGTCTGTCTGCTGGGATGTTTTTTCCCTCTCAGCCTTGGTCTGTCTGCTTGGATACTGTATCCCTCTCAGCCTGGGTCTTTCTACTGGGATGTTGCATCCCTCTCAGCCCGGGTCTTTCTACTGGGATTCTGTATCCCTCTCAGCCTCAGTCTGTCTGCTGGGATACTGTATCCTTCTCAGCCCGGAGTAGTCCTGAGAGTCACGGATGGAAGCCAGCCTGCTAAATGTGAACTTGAGTGTGTCGATGGGGCCGTAAAAACATCTAAGTTTAGAAGAAATAAAATGTTTAATCCATACACTTACCATACAAGTACGCAGGCACCCAACATCTGTGTCTCCTACTTGAGATAATCTCCACAGACGAGACAAAAGAAAGTGCTCTTGAGAAAAGCCGATCGGAAAGTCCGGGTGTAAATTGACAAGAGGCTTCCAACTTATTCCAAGGGTGGGGCCGTAATTATATCGGAGGAATAAAAATTGTTTCAGCTCTGATGGTGTTTATAATAATCTGCTTAACAAAAATCTTGTTTCAAAAGATAAAGGACTTTTGATTCCCACCGACTAATTCTGTCAGATTTTAATTTGATTTTTCTGTTGCTTTGTTGTGCCGCAGTTGGGGTTCTACTGTAAATACTCGTAATTTGTAGTTTGGCGGTTATATTGCTGCTGTGAAATTTGTTTTTGGCAAATCTTACGCTGTTGGCTGAGACGCAGTTTGTTTTATGGAATTGATTCCGTCGCCGAGATGTGAATTTCAGATCAGCGACCGTGTCCGAGAATTGTGTCAGACGTCACAGGATATATGTCTGCTGTTCCATTGCAGAGCGACGCACTGCTGTTTCTTGGGGGGGGGGATTCTGTTGGTTGGTTTGTGATTGGTGGGTTGGTTGGTTTTTTCTTCCGTATTTTTGGTTGTTGTTTATTTTTTGTTTATTTGTTACACTTGCCTATATCCTTATCTTAGTGGGTAGTTGGCATGTGCTCTGGTGTGGTTTGCTCCTTTCCTATCAAACATCTATCGTCTTGATCTCCCCTCCTTCTTTTTTGTGTTTGTTACTCCCTTGTAACACCTCTAATCTTCGGCACTTATATGACCTTATTATTGTGTTGCAAGTGCCTTAAATCTCGTTCGAAATGAAAGAAAAAATAATCCTTGTCTCTAGTCAAAGGCGTTTATATCACCGGCGCCTGTGGTGTATCGGTTAGGCTCTTCGCTGCCGCACGCAGGACACCCCGAGTTTGATTCCCGAGTGGGAAGACAGATTTTATGGAATATCTCAGGGGGTCTTTCTCCTGGAATGTTGTTTCGCTCTCAGTCCGGGTTGTCCCTGGCTGGCAGGGTTGGAAGCCCACCTCCTGAATGATCTACATTGGGTCGACCGGGATTGGGGGGGGGGGGTGTATTGAACCTATTCCTTTTGGCATGCCGTCGACAGGACATTTTTTTAAAAACCTCGAAACAACACGTGTTGTACACGGCAAGGAATGGCTGTCCACCGGGTGAAGAGACGTGTATAATACTTGTATTTCCCGGTGAACAGGCGTATAGTAAATGTATCACCCGGTGAACAGACGTGTATAGTGCATGTATCACCCGGTGAACAGACGTATAGTACATGTATCACCCGGTGAACAGACGTGAATAGTGCACGTATCACCCGGTGAACAGACGTATAGTACATGCATCACCCGGTGAGCAGACGTGTATTGTACATATTATGTATCACCCGGTGAACAGACTTAAAGTATCACCTACCTGGGGCAACCACCCACCCGCTCATTTCCTTCCATGTCCGTGTCGGTGTCGCCCATGAATAGTGTCGTGTGGCCCAGGAATAGTGTCGTGTCGTGTCGTGTGGTGTCATGTCGTGAGTATGGATTTACGTTCGTGCACTCGCGCGTGTTGATGAAGCCACGTAGATTATTTGTCTGGGGGCTTTGAGTGACGTCACCGTGAACGGCTGTCCACGTCCAATCAATGGCCGCGTCTTGTATAAAACATGGCAGAGAGTAGTTTCAGGGGAACAGTGGAGGTCTCGCTATCACTATCAGCACGCTCGTCACACCAGTTGGAGGACTCGACGGGGTTTTTTGTACATCGTCTGTTCACGTGGAGTTGGTGAAAACTTAAGATTTTTTGTTTGTTTGTTTTCTGGGGGGGGGGGGGGGTTGTTGTTTTTTTTGTTTTTTGTTTGTTTTTTTTGTTTGTTTGTTGTTGTTGTTTTTTGGGGGGTCGCCTCACAGAGTATATTAATTAATGTTATTTGTATTTTTTATAAATAATTTTTAGTTCCAAGTGTTCCCATTGGCCGATAGTCTTCAGTTATTGTCGAAGTTTTGTCAGTCCAATCATGCTTTTTTGCTTTTGTTTTGGGGTTGTTTGGGTTTTGTTTTGTTTTTCAAACGGACGGGAAGTTGATCTTTTGCGTTGAAGGTAGATCTAGATCTTTCCGCGTTCTGCGTTTCTGGGATTTGTTTATTTCTGAATCATTGAACGGCAGAGCGCCATGCGCTCAGGGCTGAGGTAGCGGGAGATAAACATTGTCTAGTTGGTTTGCTGTTGTTTGTTTTGTTGGGTTTTTTTTATTTGACAGCCTAAGGAATTACCTGTGTGTGGGTGGGTAGTTTGCAGGTGCTCTGGTGTCTTTTGCTTCTTCTATCCTATCAAACATATATCGTCTTTATCTCCCTTCCTTCTTTTTGTGTTTGTTACTCTCTCGTAACACCTCTAATCTACGGCACTTATATGACCTTATTGTGTTGCAAGTGCCGCAAAAACTCTTACTAAAACTATACTGACCTGTGTGAGGCGGCTGCGGATTTCTCTTTGTCGCTTTAAATGGTATTTCTAGGGAGGAAAACGTCTAGTGAATCAGATGGTCCGTGGACCAACCCTGGCAGAGGGGGGGGGGGGGGGCTCTTGTGGCCTAGAGGTTAATGTGTTCGCCTCTCATTCAAAGGTGCCGGATTCGAATCCAGGTAGTGTTCCCAGTTTCAGAGAAGACAAGACAAAACAAAACAACAAACAAGAACAATACAAAACTGAAGCTGTTCAGATTGTTAAAAAAAAACAAAAAAAGGCGGTTGTTAGAACTAATGAGCGAGGGTTTCACGGGCTGATAAATGAAGGAGGCGGTTCAAAAGCTAATGAGCTGGGCTAGTCGAGCGGGGAAAAGATAAAACAGTTCTGAGGTGCAAGTACAACAAGAAAGAAAGAAAGAAAGAAAAAAAGAAAGGTGAAGCTGAGAATGAAGAAGTTTTCATTTTTCTCAGACGTAACCGTCTCGTTTACTTTTTTAAATGTGTGGTTGGCGGGTGCTCTGCTGTGGTTTGCTCCTTACTCCTTCATTCCTGTAGAAAAAATCTATCGTCTCTATCTCTCCTCCTTCTTTTTGTGTTTGTTACTGTCGTGTAACACCTTTAATCTTCGGCACTTATATGACCGTGTGTTGCAAGTGCCTTAAAACTTTTACTTAAACAAATTCCCTTTTTTTTTTCAGTAACAGTTTACAGTGATTACTACTATCACATTTCAGTTCCTTACTCTCCCTCTCCCTTCCCTTCATCACCCCCCCCCCCCTTAAAAAAAAACCCAGCAACCCTGAAACCAATTTTGTAGATTGGCATCAATGATGATGTCAGACCTTATGAAGTGTTTTGTTTTGTTTTGTTGGGGGGTGGGGGGGGTTCGGCTAGACAGAGATACTTCCAGCAGCTGTGATGAGAAGCGGGTATGAGGTCACTTGGCGGTCTGTGAGATCGAGATCTCCCCGCGTCTAAAACACAACTGAGACTTTCGAATGTAGTACATTCGCCTCTTGGACTTAACCGTTGAACGGGTTTCGAAGCCAGTAGTCACAATTTGATTCAGATTTTAGGGGGGGGGGGGGCTTTTTTCTTCTTTTTTTGTGTTGTTGTTGTTGTTAGCTTGTTGGGTTCTTTTTTGTTTGTTTGTTTTTTCTCTGTAGAGTTTTTCTTTGTGTGTGGGGTTTTTTTTTCATTTGGCTTTTGATTGTTGTTTGGTTTTTAAGTGCCTCATTTACTTTGCCTCTTTAGGTGGTTGGCGGGTACTCTGGTGTGGTTTGCTCCTTCTTTCCTATCAAAGTGATATCGTCTTTATCTCCTTCATTTTTATGTTTGTTACTCTCTTTTGACACCTCTAATCTTCGGTGCTTATAAAACCTTATTGTGTTGCAAGTGCCGTAAAACTCTGAATAAAACTAAACTAAACCTCTTTTTGAGAAAAAATGATGATGTCTGACTATGTCCCCTCCTCCGTGTTGTTTCAGAGATCGTGCCGTGGAGACATGAGGCTGCCTCAAAAGTTCTTCCTGTTACTTCTGCTCGTGACGGTGGTCACACTGCTGGGATCCGCCGATGCCGCCCGCGGGAACCGACGCAACAAGAGCAGTACGTAGAGAGAGTGTTAGGAGTATATAGATTGTAGTGATGATGATGATGATGAAAAAGAAAATGATTAGGTCAATAGCAGTAGTATAATTGGAATTTTAATGATAATGATAATATGATTATAATAATTATAAAATGAAGAAAGTGATGAGGAAAATACTACTGCTAATAATAATAATAATAATGATAATGATAATAATAATAGGAGGAGGATAACATGCGAGAATGGATAGCCATAAAGCTATGGGCCACACTGAGGAAAGCACAGAGCCAATAGGGGTAGAGGAGATTTGTTGTCGTCTGTCAGAGGCGACCCAACGGATGACAAATGTATGGGAGCAGAAGCAGGGTTGATTTTGGCTTTACAATTTTTCTTTCTTTTTTTTTTTCTTTTTTTTTTGGGGGGGGGAGGGGGTAAGTGTTTTTCGGCGCTCGCAACTGCATAAGGTCATATGAGCGTGCGGGGCACACTAACCATTTTCTGGTGTTAGGAAATTTTGAATTTTGCCCGGGTTGCGGCCAAGACCTACTCTTTTTCGATTTGGGACCACCAAGGGATGTTTAACGTGCGCAACTTGCTCACGAGTCCTCCGAGATTGTTTGCCCTTTCCCGAGAAGGCTAGATGTTAAATCTTACCTACCAGACTAGGTGTTAAATCTTACCTACCACAAGATCAGGGGTGTGGCTGAAAGACTGCAGTAAGAAGAAGCCATGGAATAGCAGTTGAAAGGCTGCAGAAAGATTCAGGAGCCCAGAGGAGGGGGCAAAGGAGGTGAGAGGGTGGGGACAGAAAGTGGAGACAAAAGCAGACGACAGAAAATTGCTAGAGAGAAGGAAAGAGGGTGAAAGGAGACAATTTTAGATAAGAAAATGCTTCCGTCGCTACCCGGATTCGAACCCGGAATCTTTGAATGAGAGGCGAACACCTTAACCTGTAGGCCACGAGAGCCCCATCCGGAGGAGATTTGTTGTCATCTGTCAGAGGCGACACAACGGATGACAAATGTACGGGAGCAGACGCAGGGTTGATGTTGGCATTAAACCGGTACCATTCCACCATTTTAGTTTAGTTTAAGTTTAGTAAGAGTTATACGGCGCTCGCAACTGCATAAGGTCACATGAGCGCGCGAAACACAAGTTGGTTGCATTCACAACAGTTCACAGCACCACTTGATTTTGGGCAATGATCAGATTATAATGTTACAAATTCATGGTAGAACACTTTCGTTTGTTTGTTTGCAAGTGCCGTAAAACTATCCCTCACTCCCAGGGTAGTGCTGCTGACTGAAGTGTCTTTGTGCCATTCCCAAAGGGGAGATATTAACATGTTCTTATGCACTGTTGAATTGTAAATGAGCTGATTTATCAATGTCATGCTCATACTGTGCCGAAACAATATAAGGGGAACTTCTGCTTTTTCTTTCCTCATCCATACTATCGTCATTATTCCTCTACTTTTTTTGTATGTTTGTCACTCTCTTTGAACTGCTATTTCCGGGGTGCCTTGATAGTCGAAGCGGACTTCGTGCTGTTGTTTGGACTTCTCTGTTGACATCTCCCCTTGGCGCTCATATTATGGCCTTATGCAGGTGAGAGCCCCGTAAAACCTCTACTAAAACAAACAAACAGGACTTTGTGCTGTTCAAGCTAGAGAGGTTAGCAGAGTAAGCCTGGTTCCCCGTTTGGACTTTACTGTTGACAGCAACCCCTTGGCGCTCATATTATGGCCTTATGCAGGTGAGAGCCCCGTAAAACCTCTACTAAAACAAACAAACAGGACTTTGTGCTGTTCAAGCTAGAGAGGTTAGCAGAGTAAGCCTGGTTCCCCGTTTGGACTTTACTGTTGACAGCAACCCCTTGGCGCTCATATTATGACCTAATGCAGGTGCGAGCGCCATAAAACCTTACTTAAAAAGTATATATTTAAAAACCTCTGACTACTACTAAAGACTCCCCTGATCCCCTGCTGCGTCCAGGCTGCAAGTACAAGCGGAAGGGCGTGGACGGCGCGTGTGATGTGGCCACCAACAAGAAGCAGGTGACCTTTGCCCTCAAGGCGCGCAAGAGCAGCCCCAAGTGTGAGCCCACCAAGGTGGTCTCTCTGGACTGTGACGACTTCAGCGCCAGCAAGAAGCAGAAGGGGAGGAAGATGGCCATGAAGAAACGTGAGTGTGTGGCCTCAGGAATCTTCGTGGATGATGTCTCCCCTCCCCCCTCCCATACTCCTGTTTCTATATTTATTTACATGTTAATGTCTACTTGCGAGGCGTGCTGACAAAATGAGTTACTTCTCGCGATCCAAGAATGGAGATATCTGCTGGAAATCAACACCGGAGTCAGATTTATAGATTGTTAGTTGATGCCATTTTGTTCAGGTCTACCGTCTTTTATTATTCCTCACTTACAAATCGTACGAACTCCACCTATAAAGTTGATGTGTCAATATCCTTATGGCTAAAATCCGAAAGAAGTAATTCATTTTGTCAGCACACCTCACATTTGCTTGTCATGGTGCAGTCAATATAAGAATAGTATCGATACAAGATGCAGTAGACGACAATATGATCCTTAAATTTGGAATCCCCGTAGGCGCTTTTCAGGGGTCCGAAAAATTCAGGATTTTTCTCTTCTTTATTTTTTTTTCTTTTTAATATGTTTTTAAAATGTTGCCATGTGTCACCTGTCGCAATGACACAATGTCATATAGTTATAATGTCGTCCATTAACATGGCTGATGCGTGGCAAAAATCCGCGGTTCAGGATTTGGTAACCTTTGGCTATGCAGAGGTGTTCCCAAAGATCGTATATAACAAGGTAGTTCGCTCGACCAAAAAAGTGTCCGCGGAAGTCCGGTCATTGCTTCAGATTCTTTCGTTTCTCTAGAAGAAGAACAGGAATAGCACAGTTTGTTCGTTTCGCTTGTATTGTTTTTCTCACTAGTAGGGTAACTCTGTTCGCAAAATCCGCACTTTTTCGAAGAGGGCGCTACCGGATTTTGAGGACACTTTTTTTAATGTGCTCAAAGAGAGGAGTGAACTATCTTGTTTTGTACGATCTTTGGTGTTCCTAAATTGTGCCTGTGTGCACTCTGTGAGCTTCCTGCAAGTGGTGCAGTTCGGTGCGAGAGAATCGTAGAAACAACAGAACATTCCGTGTTCTGAGCGGTGACCTCTCTTGGAAAGGAAAAAGATTGGGAGTTTCGGGGGGGGGGGGGGGGGGGGGGCGTGGAGACTCGCTCAGCTGTCAGTCCGGGACAAGGGCTCTTGGTCTGTCCGTCCAGAGGGTTCTTTCCTCTTAAGGTCACGCGGAACTAGAATACTGTTCTTTGCTGTTTGTCTCACCGGCGCGGCGTCTGTGCTGTAGAGGTGATAGGTTCTTGGCTGTTGCATGCTGAAGGGTTGAGTTCGATCCCTGGGGGCCAAAGTTGTGTGTGTGTGTGTGTGTGTGTGTGTGTGTGTGTGTGTATGCGTGCAAACATTTTAGAGACTGCATTGATGTTCTTTTTTTGTATTTTCAGAGTGAGCAGTAATGATTTATGTACTGCTGGTATACATGCATGTATTTTCAATAGAATGGCTTCGAAGAGCGATGTCTCTGAACTTTGGGAATTACGCAGACCGGAACGATATGGAATGCTGAAGGAATATGGAGTGAAAGGCCAACTCTTCAAAACACATTATGACTCTTTATGAGAATTGCCTTTGTGCCGGAAAACCGTCAGAAAGGATTCACTGACTGGTTCAGTTTTGTCAGGCACTGGACAAGGATGTGTGCTCGCTCCATTTCTTTTTATGACATTAGATATGGGCAAAGTCATCAGAGACTGCACTGGCGCAAATGTACTCCTGTTTGCTGGGGACTAGTTTATCTTAAATACAAAATGCCCCCCTCCCCCAGAAAACAAACTTACAGATGAGAATCAGCATTGCCGTAACAGAAGTGATGACGAAAGTCAGCAGAAACCCAGCCCCACTGAACATCCCCATCGACGGGACATCGCTCAAACAGGTTGGGGAATCTACATACCTGATGAGCATATCTACTTTCTACGTATGACGGAAGATTGGCCGGAGAACGTGAAATGAGGGCCCTATAAGCAAGTGTTGGCACCTAGCAGTTGTCACCGATGCTCTTCCATAAACACGTACTTGGGGAAGTGAAAAGTCATCTTTCCAACTGCTCGTTGCTTCCAACACAGACGTACCAATGCCAGACATGGCAGCTGAACACAGCACGCGAAAGGAAGATAATCACCTGTGAGATAAAATGTCTCAACAAATTAATCAATGTCACAAGGAAAACAAGGAAAGATTGCATGAGGAACGGAACGCCCCGTTAATTTAATGGATATATTGAACTGCAAAGAATCAAGTGGTACGGTCACCTGATGAGAATGCCCACCAATCAACCAGCTGCTCCAGCATACAACACAAGAGGATCGGGCGACAAAGGCAGGGGTAGACCACCAGAAACTTGGCTGGATGGCGTGAAGGAGATCTTCCAAAAGAATGAAATACATTATATATATATACATAGGAGAGAAATCACCCACCTACCTTTTGGCCGAACATTGCTCCTATTTCGTAGCTCGTTGGAGCAGGGGATATTAGTACTAATAATATAGGCTCTAATCTTATCTTATACTATTTGAAAACAATGTAAATGCATATACTCCTACAGTCCAACGTTTTATTATCTTCATATAACTTTAATGCCCATGTTCTGAATAAAGTGTGCGTTGTTAATTAACGACAACTTCACATACACGTTGTGACAGGAACCAGATGGTGTTTATTTATAGGATAGACAGGGTCAAATTATATAGCTACAGTCTACTGAAAGGTTATCGTAGTTGTTTGGACTATCGTTCTGTACTCCTCGACGCTACACTGCCCCCCGCGTACTCTTTGAAGTGATGAACAACAGAGGCTCGGAGTTTGTTCGATTTTGTGACCTGTTTCGTTTGAAATCGCTCCATCTCAATCGATTTTCCCATAAATTAGACTTAAATACTAGAATGTGTTCACAAAATACAACCAAACGAGATTTCCTCTGATTGTACATTGTATGTAGATCAGGGCGCCGCCGGCCCCCACCTCTTTCCGTAGCCTCTATTGTTGCTTTCGGTTTTTCTTTC